TAGGAAGCCACATCGTCAGCTTGATCGTCAAGCGTCACCCCCAGACACAAATCGCCGTGCTCGATCTACGAACCAACTCGAATCGCAACGCCAGCCCGAACGTCTCCTACCACGATGGCGATATCACGGATGCTCCTGCCATGAAGGCTCTGTTCTCGCAGATCAAGCCCGACGCCGTCATCCACACAGCATCACCACACTTCGATCTGAAGCCTGAGATTCACGACAAGGTCAATGTTGGGGGTACCAAGGTCCTGCTGCAGGCCGCGCAAGAGTCTGGGGTGAAGGGCTTCGTGTACACAAGCTCAGCAAGTGTTATCCTCGACCACGTAAACGATCTCGTCAACGCAGACGAGAGATGGCCGCTTGTTACTGGCGACGACCAGCCTGAGTACTACACAACCACAAAGGTAAGCACACAATCGTATTGTTATGTCGTAGAAGCTAACGATATACTAGGCCTACGCCGAGACGGCCGTCCTCCAAGCGAACCGCCATCCTGAGAACTCCCCCAACTTCCTGACCTGCGCCATCCGTCCCGCTGGTATCTTCGGCGAAGGCGACGTACAACTGCTCCCTAAGATGGTAGGCGCATACCGCAAAGGACAAACCAAGTTCCAAGTCGGCGAGAACACCAACCTGTTCGACTTCACCTACGTCGAGAATGTCGCATACGGCCACGTGCTCGCTGCTATCGCGCTCCTCCATACCCACAAACGCCTCCCCAGCATTCCTCTCGACAACGAGCGTGTCGACGGCGAAGCCTTCCTCATCACCAACGGACAACCTGTATACTTCTGGGACTTTGCGCGTGCGGTATGGCACGAGGCGGGCGACCGAACACCGTTGAGCAGCGTGTGGCATCTCAGCACCGAGTTCATGTGGGCTATTGGCACGATCCTAGAGAATGTCTTTTGGCTCATGGGAAAGAAGCCTAATCTGACTAGGGCTCAGGTCAAGTACAGCAGCATGTCCAAGTACCACAGCATCAACAAGGCGAGACTGCGGTTAGGATATGAACCTCTTGTTACTTTAGATGAGGGTATCAAGAGGGGTGTACAGTATATTCTGGAGCAGGAGAAGAAAGCTGGGGAGAAGAAGGGTCAGTAGACTCATACAAACATAGGAGCAGAGGCTATCGAAGACGATTTATTCCCATACTGCAGGTGTATAGTGTTGTAGATAATGTAATTACAGACATCTTCGATGCAAGCAGGCACTTCACTACGATGCTCGTATTTCTCAACTCAGGGAGGCTCTCGTAAATACATGCACACTGTCGTGGCCAGATGGAGCTAGAACCTCCCCAAGGCGGGACCCACTCCCGATTAAGTCAACTTCGTCGCGCGCGTAGCTCAGCGACCTCCCCAACCCCACGTTCACCCCACCCGTCACCATGGCGCGCAATCACGAAGTATGTCGCGCCCGCTACTTCCCGAGTCAGCATACGAAGCTCTCGGCCTCTCTCCTGAAACGATCAAAGACCTGATGAATCCCAAGCCTGCGCCCGAACCTACCGAAATCCACGCGCCGAACCTCCTGCAGAGTGACGAAGACAATGCGCGCCCCATGTCGCCCAACGAAACTTCCATAACGCTATACGCCGAACTGCTGCTGCATATACGTACGGTCACGCTTTTTGCATCGCTGCGCACGAATTTCTCTCGGTCGACGGACGCGAAGCTGTCGTCTGATGGGTCTTACATCACTGTCTCTCATGAGGGCCAGTCCGCGTCAATACGTCTTCCTATCAACGTCAAAGGCGGAGGCGACGCTGCGCTTGAACTACCGTCACAGCCTCCAACGAAAGAGTTAACACTCCGTCTTCAGCTGGAAGAAAAGGAAGGAAGCGACCTTCTTGGGACACTGCAACGCGAAGACCGACAGGCCAACATTGTACCGTGGGACGGCGCTTCGCTCAACGATGCGAAGGATTTTGAGATAACCTGCAAAGGCTGCGACGGTATCCTTGTAGCGAAAGGAAAGATTCAACAGTGGAGAGACCTGCCTAATGAGAATTGGGCTGAGATGATGGACTTTTGGCATTGCCATAAGCCGGACGAGCATCACTTGCACGATCACACACACGATGATGTTGTCGGTCAGAAGGGTTATGCAGCTGGTAATCGCCTGCAGGCTACGGGAGGTGTTGGGTTTGTTGATCTGGCCAGCTTTCTACTGGCAGAGTCGGATTGCGAAGGCGCACAGGTAAGCTACAACCTTCTTTCAACCGTGTCGTGCGGTTCCTACATCGTCACTTCATGAGGTTGCAACATGTATGGGCGCAAAGAAGACGAACTCGCCTCATCAGTGGCATTCATCGTCGATACAAGCGCCCTAAATTGATAGGCTCATACACGTACTCTTGGTTCCGGTGTACCCTCTTCCCCAGGTTGATGGGTTGCCGGCGCCGTCGAGTCAGCGGCCTGGCGTTTCACTGTCTCTATACCCTCAGACCCTTGGGATTGGCAGGTTTAGCCAAGGCTACATTCTACACACATCGGTGGCTATCGTTGTTCAGTCTCGTATATGCTGACATGACGCAGATCTCCTCCCATGCCGGCACGGATCCAGGCCTGATTCAATGCAAACATTGCAACCACACAATCGGCGCCCACGAGCCCTCAACCGACGGCTGGCGAATACGAAAATGGGCCATAAGCATACGATCTGCAAAAACCACTCCATCGTCGTCAACTACGCATACAGTCCAGAAATGGATATCAGTCCGCCTCCTCCACCTCATCGAAAACACCGGCCTCCGCAAATTCCACATCCACACCGCCGCACCACCCGCCCAATCCCAAGAAACCCCCATACCCTCCCTCCTCATCTGGGTCTTCACCCCCGATCTCCTCTTCTCCTCTTCCATACCCACGCCCGGCCGTCTCGATCCTACCCGCACAATGAAAGTCTTCTACCAGAAACAGACATGGCAGGCGTTGAAGCCTGGTGAGCCTGAAAGTGCTAGTATAGAGGATGTGGAGTTTCCGGTGGATTTGTATGAGGAGTTGGAGAAGGGGTTGGAAGGGAGTCAGAGGTTGTTGCCGCCGACGGCGAAGAAGTTTCAGGGGTGGGATGTTGGGCTTTTGGAGAGGTTTGAGGTGCTTGAGGCGGGATTGGGTGACGGAAGTGGGGAGGAGGAAGGTGAGGCTGGTGCGAATGGGGGTGCCAATGGGAATGGGTTGGGTGGTGAGATACCGGAGGAGGATGTTGATTGACGTGATCGAACGGTTTAATGAGTATACACACATCTATGCCTTATATTGAAGCTATATTGTAGCAGTCATTCGTGTCCCATCTGCTGTATTATTTTTGTCATTTGTTAAAATGCGTCATACAAGACTGGCGGTCTCTGAGCGGGTGTATGGCATAAAGATTGCTAGCCGGGTGAGAGCAAGCGCCAACCTCACCCGTAGCGCTTTCCCATCCGCTCAATCACCGCTGACCTCGCAAGAATAAAACCGCCTTCCTCTCGCTCGAACTGTGCTCTACCTTTCCTTCTCTCTTCCAGCAACTGGAAAGTTGCATCCACTTCAACCATATCATCATTCCACCAGTATGTCTATAGTCGCCAAGATTGCTGCGATGCAGCGACATCGTGCCGCCGCCGCCGAGACTTCAGATGATCTTCTGGATGTGAGAGTCACTTCTGAATCATCAACTACCGCAAGGATCGGCCAGTCTACCATGGACACTGGACTCCGACGTCTATGCCAGTCCACGCAGTCTGTGGGTTTAGAAGATCATGTAGCCACCGAGGTCTCAGATGAAGCTCCCAATATGATGCAACTCAGCACAGACTCAGAGAAGCTCGCCATTGCTGAAGACAATGCTGAAAACTCACCTCTCCTCCGTCTGCCAGCTGAGATCCGCAACACCATCTACGACCTGGTTCTCAGCTCTCACCGCGACTTCCACACCTTCGATGTCGCACGCCAGAAGAGTGTGCGGCAGAATGGTGGAAGCGAAACTACTATACAACAGCTCGCTTTGTTGCAAGTGTGCCGCCAACTCTACACCGAAACCAATCTTATCGCCCTCAACTCCACTCCCTTCGCCTTCGGCTCCGTCACCGACTTTTCCAAATACATCGCGCAGACGCTCCTCCCACCCCAAATTTCTGCCATCAGCGTGCTCAAATGCCCGTTCCGCGAGATCTACTTCCCTGGCTTCGGCGTAAACTCCGCTTTCATCGGTCTCGTTCGTGAGAGTCTGCGTGGGCTGAAGGTGCTGGTACTGTTTGGGGTGAGGAGTCAGGCCGTCGAGGAGGAGGCGATGCGGGTCATAGAGAGGAAGATCGCGAGGGAGATTAAAGAGGGATGTGGGGAGCTAGAGGTGAAGGTTGAGTTGACGAGGAATGGTTTGAAGTGGCGCAAGGAGGTCGCATCGGTCTATGGCCGTGGAGAGCGGAGTTTGGGCGCAGAGTGATGAGGGTGATTGACTCTCCTTGACCTGCCCAGCAAGAATATCAAAAGCTGTGTACGATTAGACATGGATTAGTATTGCGTGCATTCAATCACCACTCAACATTTGCAAAGACAAGATCTTCCTTTCCACCAGTTTTATTTATCTATCTATCCTACACTATCTGATGATCTCTACCGCAGCCTTAAGACTCCGTAAATGGGCAGTCCGCAAAGAAGGAGAAGGGGGGAGATCAAAATCAGTCGCTAGATAAAAGAAGAAGGGGGGAAATGAAAACCCGCTCAAACAAACAAAGATCCTTTGTTTTTTTGTGGAGTTTCTGTTCTGTTCGAGGCGCTATCCCACACCCAGTGTGGGGAAAGAGAGAGTGAAGAGCAAGGCCGTAAATGCATGCGTGCCCGATTATATCTTCTCAAGTCCTCCTCTTGTCATAACAGTCGTGAATCGCTGTTCAAAGAAACACCCAGTGTCCAGACGCCGGCTCAATGGAAAATTACTCCTTCTGTTTAAGTACAGGGTGTGAAAGACGGCTATACAAGTGCCCGCTAATCGTATACAATGCAGTGCGGGAATTACTGCTGGTTCCCGAAGCCCATAAAGTTCAAATCATCCAATGTAGTGGTGGGCTCAATGTATTGGGGGTCGAACTGGCCTCCAACCTGGTTGAAATCGGGAAAGAAGTTGGCCGTGTGGTTGAACGTCATCTGGCTGGGCGGCGCAGTGTCGAACAACGTGAAGTCCTGGCCGGGGCGACTGAAGCCTTGCATGGTCATGTCCATGTCACCGCCAAAGCCCTCATCCATGTCTGGTGAGTAGAGGGTGATGTCAGGCTGAGCCATGGGTGATAGATGTGGCAGACCGTTCATGTTGTTATTCGTCGCAAATGGCAGCGGCGCGAAGTCGAACGCTGTGCTCATTGGGGTTGGCTGCTGGTAGCCCGTGTTGAAGTTTGCGTTCAGTGCACAGGCGTTGTAGATGTCGTTGTGGTTGATGTGGGTGTCTTCTGGCGTCACAGCATCGTCGAAGGATGTGGGCTCAACGGGCGAATGTCCTGATGAGTATGTGAAGTGAGAGCCATCGGTGGTGATCGAGTCACGACGGAAGTCATCTTGGTAACCGTGAGCACTCATAGCCGGCGTTCCGAAGCCATAGCAGTCAAAGTTCTCGATCATGGGCACTTGAGGCGAAGCAGCGAATGGTGTGATAGGTGTAGTCATGGTCGCCGACATGGGTGTACCGATGAAGGGAGTGAGAGGGGTAGCGGGGCTGTGCTCGCTGCCAGAAGCGCCCTTCTTGCGACCGTTGCTCTTGGAGCGAACATATTCCCAGCCATGAGCCTTCTCCATGTGCTGCTTGCAGTTGGACTCGCGCTTCGAAGCGTACGTGCATGGGTGGTAGAGACACTTGTACTGAGCAGGGGCAGCAGAGTGCTTGTCGTTCATGTGCCTATCACGCTCCTTCTCAGTCGGCCAGCCGAGTTCGAAGTACTTGCAGTTCTTCTCGGAGCACTTCCATGGGCGAGAGTGGGTCTTCTCGTGCTTGGTCAGGTCGCATGGTCGCTTGAACTCCTTCTTGCAGTCACGGCAAGTGTGCATCACGTCTCCGGGTTTCTCGGACTTGCGTCGTCGCGCCATGGATCGGGTTACTTCGTCCTCGTCCATGCTGTCCTCGTCGGCGTCCGACAGACGACGCTTGATCCTGAATGCGTTTGAAGCTTCCACCGACATGGGGATGACGTTACCGTTCTTCTCCCGGACGAGCTCGGCAGGACGGCCGTTGTGGCTGATGCCACCGCGGAGGGTGATCTTCTCATCGCTATAGAGTCTTTGATTAGCGCGGGCGAATAGAAAGTCAGCGGCGCGGTCATACCGTGAGTAATCCATCTCGTCCAGATCCTCACCCTTGGTTTCTTTTTCTCTTGTAGCAGCCATGATTGAAGCGTATCGTCTAATCTGTTCCATCAAATCGAGGAAGTAGCCGTCAGTATAAGGGCGGTCGGTTGGTAGTCGCTGGTCTTGTTCGGATATGTACTGGACGGTCGTAGCCAAGAGTTGGATCGATCGTTGGCAAAAGCGGAAGTACGAGTCCGGGGAAGCCGACAGCTCCTTTAAACCACGAAAAATGCAATAAGCTTCTGCACTTTGAGAAAGACAACGGGTGATTCCACTTACGGGTGCGAGGAAGACGAGGGTCTTCTCGAGGTCACGGAGGTTGCGAATATTCTTCTCACCTATGCGTCGAGGCACGTCCTTGACGAGGGAGTGGAAGTCCTTGAGAGACTCCTCGGCGAGAATGGGCTTGATGATGTAGTCGTGAATCTGCTTGCACGTGTGCTCGCCGAGCACGTGATCCTCTTCTGAAAAGGTGAGCGATGAGAAGGACCTGGTGACAGCCGAATGCGTCGAGCTGATAGAAGTGCTGATGGAGTCACGGACGCTCGAGCGCTGGGAGCGAATCTCGTCTTTATATATGTTAGTATGTGGGGCGTTCTCATCCAAGACGGGTGGCTGCAGTGACTCCTTACCGTATTTCGATCCACTGATGCTGGAACCCAGACCGCTGTCAGAAGCGTGGTCATGGGGGCTGCGTCCAACTGCAGTAGGCTTTGGGTCAATGTCCATTGGGGTGTGGTCCAATGGGGCGCTGTCGAGGACAAAGCTCGGGACAGGAAGAACCTCCGGATCGTTGAGAAGGTCGCAGCCGGTAACAGCGCTCTTATGGCCAGCGACCCTCGCCTCGAAGTCTTTGAGAAGGTTGGTGACGCGACGCACGTTAGGGTCCTGGATGGAGTCGTTGACTAGCTCTTCCAGCCGGTCAGTGTTGGTAGGCGAGCGGCGGGGCATGCAGAATCGGTCCACCTCGCAGATGTCGGACGAGATATGGGTTGGCGACGAGAAAGTGCCGCTCTTCCTTAGCTGCATGCCATGGGTGCTCAGAGGGGATGCGGAACCCTTAAGAGGACGGCGGCGGGGATGACGGTTCTGGTCGTGGGGTGCAGACATGTTGAGTATGACTGGTCGTCGTACCGGTTGAAGTGGGAAAGGCGGCCTCAGGTGAGTCACGGACTGCACAGTTCCCCAAGCCCGGCGATCCAAAGAGACCAAGTGTGAGTGGTTATCAGAGCCCAGATCACGTTTTCATTGACCGGGGATAGTGGAACCTTTGCGGCCGCGGAAGCTAGCAGCTGATAGGCTAGGGTGATGATGGTGATGCAGCGAGCGAGGAAAGGGCGCTGAGTCCTTTGGTCTGGTGTCGGAGGAGACGTGCAGGTATATAGGAAGGCGCAGCACGTGGAGTAAGACGGGCGGCGAGCGGCAAAAGAGGCACAAGGGCGGCGGGTCTGCGGTGCAAAAAGAGGACGAGGAGGGAGGCCTGAGGGATTAGGATTTGAAGCAAGAAGAGATGTCGAGCAGCGCGGGCTGGGGGGATAGGTGGTTCAAGAGGGAAGGAACGGGTTGTCGTCGCTTCCTCCAGTAAGTGGAGTTCAACTCCAGGCAGCAGTGCACGGACATCTGACGTTCCGCGCAGTCAGCCCCTGCTCGGATCCTGAATACGAGCTGCATACCATTATTCGCCCATTTGCACAATAGCAACCATCCGTCTTCTGCGTATCTCTGCCGTGTCTGTTGATGCGGGAGGTGATTGCGAGAGTTATTTTATCCCTCACCGCAATCCTACTGTGGTAAAAGACACTGAACCACGAGAATTGTGCTCCATCCAGCGGTGACAAGACCCTGGCCAGAAACCGGTCAACCCAAGAAGCGCAGGAACGGCTGCTAGTGCACGCGCATCATTGGTGAATGGCGTCAGGCGCCCTATGGGTGGAGGCTTTGAAGGGCGGCAGGGCTGTGCATGGATGAAGCGACTTCGCCATCCTCACCACTTCTGGTGGATCAGCTGCTAAACACAACTAACACGTCGCTACTGATAAACCCGCCGTCCCCGCTCCCTGGAATTGCACATTTGCGCACGCCGTCCTACCCGCTTTTTCCGTCGCTGCGCAATTGCACCGTGTCCTGATGTTCTGGATGTCGGCCCATACGTATGCCGCATCCTTCGATTGGGCGAGTCGCGCAGGACGCCTTTTCACCGGAATCGTGGGGGCCAAAAACACGTCGTCAACCTGCATGTGATTTATAGGGCTGCGCATGCAGGGCGGAGAGATGTTGATATTGAGGGAGTCACACATATAAGACCCATGGTGGGGTACTCCGGGACTAAGTATAGGCTTGTTGGTTGTCTCACACTCTCTACGCAGGTCGCCACCCCCCGACGTTGGATGCATCCTCTCTCACGACTCGCTGCGGACAAAAGCCGGATATTTAAGCGCGGACATCTCTCTCACCGATTACGTCGCAATGACTAGCATTCGAAATGTCTGTTCCTATCGCAAGCTACTCCGTCCATCTCAGACTTCACTGCACTTCTTTCCTTTTGCAAAAGCATGCACCGATGATTCGTCACATCACTCTGCACTCATACTCTGATCACATGGGCCGCCGGATTCAAGCAGTCATCCTTCTTTCTTCTAAACTACGACACTATCCCGACTGCACTGCTACGACAGACATCACCAGAGCCTCCAACGCGACTCTACACCTAGTACAACACACTACCAACTATCACGTGTCTTAACGTGCTGCAACGCCCCTCTAGTAAACTCTATGTAACATCCTGGTCGCCGGCATCACGTCCCAGTAATAAAAGCTGTTCGCTATCATGATCATTCATGCTGATCTCTCAGCCACCTCCAAGGGAAAAATTGAACACCTGTCTAGCTACAGAGAATGGTAGAAGTGAAGAAGCTAGAACTCGAAATTACGTGAAGATTTTGATATCTTTCGTTTCTATACTAATGTAGACAGCAGGCGGCATCGCATCCATTCAGTTCCTTGCATGTACAAGGTGTTCACGACACTTTACTAGTAGGTCGGTACAGTAATCCGCATGCCCACCCCACCGGCGCGCAGAGATCTGTCTAACTAGTATCTCCAAATCCAACAACGTCGTTATTTCATCCAAGGTATTCCAGCCGCGCAAGGTCACAATCCTACAAACTTCCCTCACAACCCAACCCTTTCCATTCCAATCTTTGAATTCGCCTCGCCGTGCTCTTTCAACCTCTTCAGTGCGCGGCTGTGATATCTTTCGGTTTGTAGTGTATGCATCTTCATAATCCTTCTTACGCATCAGAAAATCGTTCATGCTGAATCCAAACTGCTCCATCGTAAAGTCTGCAATGTATCCCGCTCCGGTTTGGGTTCTGATATTGAAGACGCTGTGGCGAACAAATGGATCTGGCTGTTCCCCTGCCAAATGATAGACAACGAAAGGCTTAACTTGGACGGTATGCCAAGTAATCGTCGCTCCAATCTTTCTAAAGGCAGTCTCAAGATAGATGAGAAAGAGTTGAATGCTGAAGTCGCAGTGGTTGTACTTATTGCGCGCTAGCCGGTCTAGAAGGGATACGTCCGGAGGATGGGCATGAGGACCAATACCATATATCAACCTTCGATTGCTATCTCGAACTGGGACTTCGGTAACGATGAGAGGTCTGTTCCATCCTGTTGGTACCGAAGGGACGTGGTAAACAGAAGGCCTACACTCGTACTCCAGTACTAGATTGAATATGTGCCAATATAGCAAGAGTATCGATCGAATGTAATAGTATTCGTCCAGTGATTGGTATGCCCACGATAGTGTAGTTATGAAGTTCGTTGCCGTTGGAAAGTGTTGTAAAGATGTTGGAGGTGCATGATGTTCTGCTAACAAGGGGGGCTTTGGGGTCGCTGGAGGTGTGGGAGGTTCTGTTGGCTCTGATGATATCACGCTCTCCAGACGGCCGCAGGAGAAGGTGGGAGTTGAAGGAGGTGTCGGCTCTGATGATGTTACGCTGCCCTGGCGACGACAAGGGAAGCTGACAGTTGGAGAAACCTTGCGCGTGTAGGTATCATCCAACATCGGAAGGGGCGAAATGCACATGATGATTCCTCGGGCTGTGATGACTGTGAATCTGCTAATACAAAAGAGGAGACGATCTAACGCAGTTTATATACCGCGTAGGTTTCGAATACCACAGTGGGATATGATGGGCTTCTGTGGATTGTCCTGTGGATTTTCTATGTCGAGCCACGGCACCGTGCAATCGCCCAATACGCTCTTTTCACTGTCAAATCCAACACTGCATCTGAGCACCGGGATACTCTACCTAGATATAGAGCGAAAAGCCTTTTCGCTGTATTCTTGGGCACACACCGTCCATCCTGTGGTCCCGCGATCACGCTTCGCAAAGGTGTTACTAACTCGAATAGCTCGCTTATAGGCACTACCAGACATTTGAACTAGACGAATTCGGTATTCTCCATACCGCAGGTCTTTGGCTGGTAGTCGCTCTATACTCCGCCGTGGTAATCATGAGATTGCGAGGAGATTAGATCGCGCCGCAGTACGTTTGGGCCGTGATACGCGGGCCAGAGACAGGGAGAATTCTTGACACGCATATCGGCTGATGCTTTACGTTAGTTCTGGTATATGTAGCGTCGCAAGCAATCCATACCTAGATACGCGTACCATGGTAGTGCGATGGATGCTGTTACCTTTCCCCACGATCCTATCGGTGTGCTACAGACCTCCGCCAACGCTGTTGCAACTACATCCTAGCACCATGTTCGGCCAACTACCTAGGTATCCGCCAAACCAAGCAAAACCCCAATTTCGCGTGTGGATGACAACATGCAGATAAACCGCGGGACGCGGCTCATGAAACCTCCATCCCGAGTTGCGCGCGCAACATTGCTTCAGGCAAAGAATCGCAGTCGTCGCCAAAAACCAACGTCGAAGCCATGACCGCGAAAGAGGGGAGCTATTATGGGAACATGCAGGTTTCCCGCGCGCAGTGGATCAGGAGAACCACCATGTGACATCAGCGTGCTCCGCGTTAAGCGACCTGACCCTGAAGGTACTAGCGCCCAAACTCTGGGAACAGCCAACGCCAATGAGACGCCGGGCAGTATAGTTCCGTTTCATGAGCCCCGTCGAGCTCAAACCCCTCGCGATGCCGTTGCCGCCGTCGTCGTTCTGACTGTTCAACCCTCTCTCTTTCCGAGGCGAGTCTTTATCGCTCTCGTCTTTCTTGTCGCTCTCTCTCGCTGCTTATCCTTAGGTCTCTCGCGGCCGTTACAATCTCTCTATAGGTTCACGCTGGTTCGTGCCTACACGCTCACTCCCCTCGCGGTCACATCGCGTTATCGCGTATTCGAAGCGTTCGCAAACGAGTTTTTCGGGTCGATTATTTGAGTTTTCTTGCAAGATGTTGGGTTTTCACAGAAGAACGAGGTCTTTAATACCGGTTAAGGATTTGGGCAAATATGATAAGGTGGCTATGGTTGAGGAAGAGGAGCAGCGGGATGTAGAAGAAGAGATGGAGAGTCACAACGCGCCAGACGGTGCCGATAAGTCGCGGCGGACGCAATTGATGCTGGTGTACCTCATCTTCCTTGCTGAAGCGTAAGTTCTACTATACATCTCATATGAGATGACCCGTTTCTTCCGGCTTGTGTTGACATTGGCGTAGCATCATGGCATCAAGTCTCCAGCCACAGCTCCAAATGCTCCTCTCGTCCTCCGACTACTGCGGCACCCTCTCCTCGTCATACCTCCGAAGCATACTCGACTGCGCATACGCATTTGGTGGAACAACGGGTCTGTTCTGGGGATACCTCGCCGACCGCATGGGAAGACGGCGCGTTACGCTCATCGGGCTCTGGAGCATGTTTGCATGCTGCCTGAGCATGGGATTTGCGACCAGTCTTGTCAGCTGCACAATCTTCCGCTTCGTCGCTGGCATGGTTAGCTCGGCAATCGTATGCACGACCCTGACCATGATTGGAGACTTGAGCACATCGGCAGAGGAGAGGGCCAAGAACGTCGCCCGGCTACCTACCATTTCTCTGGGTGGCTCCATGGGCCCTATCATGCAACTCATGGTATCGGAGAGCCTGCA